GCGCACAATACAACTGTCCATTTTTCAATCTAGCTTATTTCTTGCTTTTAAGTGCTATGTTTTATAGCTGGCCACGGCTACCAGTTGGTATCCGGGGAAGCCTAAAGCACTGTTTTTGATCTATGGAGCCTTCCAGGGTTTAGAACCTAATTACCCCAGAAAGCACTACCTTCTCCTCATCTGTTACCACGGCAGCCGCCATCCGTCGCGATGCTTCGACTGACGAGCCCTGATTTACCAGGGTACAGGGGCAATTCCAGAGGACTGTCGTTTTCAGAATTTACTCGCGCTTGGTCTGACAGCATTTTCAGGAAAGGAAGGGGTAGGATAAATTAAGAGCGTACAAGCGGGGAAGTAGTGATTTCTTTTTTCCCTCCAGAGTGATTCAACAGTTCAGTGCACACTGTTCCAGTAGCACTTTATTATTTTTTTCCTTAGTAATACCACGCGTGCCCTTGTCCCAGGGTCAAGGTGCATAAGGGATGAGTCGACTTTGCTTCGTTTTAATATATCTTTCTGCAAAGTGAGAAAACAGGCTGCTTAACCAAGTCGTAAGGCCTGTTTTCAAGGGAGGGGAAAAAAAAGAATCAGAATGCATGGAACATGAGCTTTAATATTATCTATTCATGTCTAATGGTTACAGAAACTACTATTTAAAATGAAACATTAGGATTTTTCTGTACTCATGACGCTTTTTATGTGGCAATCTCAAAGCGCCAGACTCATGCTTCTCAGAAAGAGAGAAGCTTAGCTTCCCCACTGCAACATCTCAGCTCTTCAGAAATGCGCTTCCCATGCCATCTGTGTGATAACAAATTTAGAAAAAAATGAGTAGTACCTTGGCAGTCTTTACCAAACGTTACTCAGGATGCGGGGGAAGGCGGCGGAGGGGGTTCCTATCAAATGGGACGTTCGGTATCTGAGTCAGAGGTGATGACAACGTCTGAGCAGGGTGCCGCTTTCTGAGAAATATGCCATTGGGTCTGGAGAGCCTGACGCAGCTGCGCTGCGTTTCAGCTGAGGTCTGCTCATTCAGTCCTACACGGCCTTGCAAGCACGGCACGAGGCAGAGCCCCAGATCCGCATTACACCCCTTGTCCTGCACACAGTCCCTCCACGCACCCGAATGACCTTCCTCAGAGGAAAGGTGACTCTACCAGAGCAGCCCCACGTTGAGATGATCCAAACCTGCGGCCACTTTATGAACTACCAGCCTGACCATATGTCAGTCATCCCACCTGAAAAATAAGGTAATCCAGGCTCTTTTCTTCCTAAAGCAAGATCACCAGCATTTGAGAAGCGTCTTGAAAACCACAGGTGGAGAGAGCATCAATAAGAGCGTGCTACCAGATACAGTATTCCTACAGCAGTAACGACTTGTTTTGGACTCCTGCGTTGCTCAGGCCATCAAAGACGTTAACAAAACGCAGCCCGTCAGGAGGCGAGCGGTACCTTTTGTCATGGAACGCAAGGTGGCTCACGAAAACGTCCTCCTTTCCACCCGTTCCGCACAAAGCGCCTGCCGCCGCCCCACCAACTACTGGGCGGCTTGCTCCCCCTTTAGAAGGGTAAGGCTCTCCGACAAAACCCAGAGCTTCGTTGCAAGACGGCACGAGCCCAGCGACCGAAAGCACGCTTGGGCTCTTAATCGCGCCGCGCCGGCTTTCATCCGAGGTCGCGGCTGAACCAAGAGGGAGGCAAATAAACCTTCAACTCCCTTGTCGGAGCTGGAGCCTTAAAACGTGCCGTTTTGACCAGGCGTCTAGCTCCGCCGACCGCGGCGAAACTCCTGGCGTGCAAAAAGCGATGCGCAGATGTTCGTCCTTCCGGGCCAGGCGCTTCCTTAGCGGGAAGCACCCACGTGAAATTCAACAGAGAGATGGCCGAGAGCAATTTTTGTTCATTAGGGTGCTCTTCCATGGAGTAAACGGCAGCGTTAACGCTAAGAAAACAAAGGCAAGTCTCACGGGAATACGAGGCCGCTTTTTCCTACTGATTGCAGAGGGTCCCGGCTGCTTGAACGGACGATACGCTAATTTTGTGGCGCGCTTGCTCGAGGGAGGAGAGCGCGAAGTCTCCCGTGGCACGGCGCGCACAGCTTACAACGGGCAATGGTAGCGTTCGATCCTTCGTTACAGCCCTCAAAAAAGCCGTTTCTCCAAAGCAAACAGGCTACGAAACCCATTTTTCCCCCCCCTCTAATTGTTTCAGAAAAACTCCAGTTCACGAGGCGCTTTCTGGGCTTTTATGGGCAGCTGCTCCTCTAACGCTGGAAGGAAGAGCTGGCGAGTTTAAAAACAGAACAGGCCACAGCTTTAATTTCCTATAAAACAGCTCCCCGCAAGCTGGTGAAGCAAGCTTAAACGAGAGCAACGCTCTGAAGATTTTGGAGATTTTCGGCGCGACGCTTGGAGCGAGGGCTGCTCGTGCTCTTGCTGCTCAGGGGGGCTCTGCAAACACACCAGCAGATTTATGCTTTTCCCTTGCAAAATAACCCCACGGACCCGTCTGCAAAATTAATTTATATAAACACGCAGAAGAAAGGAACATCCTAGCACCGGCAATAAAGCTGCCCCGCGGCAGCCTCGGCTCGCATACTACCATCTCCGTCTCTCGCACGCAAGCTGCTCTTCCTGCCTTTCGCTCTTCCCCTCCCTCCCCGCAGTCACGCCGCAACATATATAACTCGGCTGCACAGAGGCGCTGATTAAAAGCCGCCAGCAGTTAGACAACTTCTTGCAAAGCCTACAAGGGCGCTCTGTATTTACGAAGGCAATAATTAATCCATGCATTTTTCTTTCCATACGCGGACGCTTTTGACGGCCACCAGGACCTTCGGCTCCCAGGAGCTGCTTCCCCCACCCTGCAGCATCAGCAAAGCCAAGCTCACCGCGTTTAAACCCGCGTTGGTCTGCAAAACCACCACAAGCCCCGCTGAATTCATTAATTTTGCGGGTAGAGGCTTTCACAAAAGCGGCACAGCTAGTGCCGCAACTACCAGTCTGTCAGGGTTTTCCCTTAAAATCACTTTTTCTTCCAGCTAGAAGACCTATTTCCGAGCAGTGAACTGGTAGATGGCTTTGCCTCTTAAGAGCGTATTGCATTTTAGTGGTTTTATTTTTATATTGTCTCCACTCTTTGAATGGACGGAGATTAAGCGAGAATGACGCAAAAATGCAAAGCAGGGAATTTTCCTCCTTTTTAAACCTGCCTTCTAGCCAGGACCAGGCCGTGTTTATTCTCAAGAAAGGCGGAAGCACCTAACCGATAACATGCCTGCGCTCTGCCTCACCAAGAAGCATTGCAGCTGCTGAATGCTTTAGACGGAGAGAGCCACCACCCTTTCCCCAGCCTCCCCGCCGGCCAGTAGTGCCGGGCAAGGTCCCACGGACACGAACATTCAGTCGGTCGGGATTCGCGTTTCCCCTGTGGGAAATTTTGCCCTCCACGGCCCGTCCCTTCTGCCTGAGCCAGAAAACGGACGCTTTGCCCCAAAGATGTGCTTCCCCGCTAACCCCATCGCAGGGCTGTGCATCTGGTGGAGAGGCTACCGCCTGGAGGACGCTGCCAGGTACGTATCTAAAACACGCACGCTTTGCGCCCTGAAACGGCCCACGAAGGCGATGACGTGGTTTTATTCTGCCCAGGATGAAGGCCTGCGGCGTGAAGCCGCTCACAGCCCCAGGAGGAGAATCGCAGCCATTCCCCTAAAATCACGTCGAGTCCCAGGAACTGCTGGGACGACAGCCACGTAAGCGACAACCAGGCAAACGGGCCTCCTTCGCACAGCTACGCAGAGAGGCGCAACCAAAAAACAGCCCAACAGGCTGAAAGGGGCCACGTGCAACAAGGAGGGCGCTTCGCACGAGACCTCCCAGCCTTCGGACATCTAAATCCTTGACGTGGAGCAATCCCAAACCGAGCTCAAAAAAACAGACTTTTGCCTGTCAAACACAGGCGAAACCAACGCTTGCTTTTCTGCACGCAACTCCACTTTTCACGTCAAAAGCGTCTTCCAGCAAACAACGGCAAGGCGCGCCGTTAAAACCTTGCAGGGCTCGAGCCGTGAGGTCACCGCCCAAACGCTGCTGTCATTGACTTCCATCAACAACACTTTGCCGGTGTCGATACTACCAACACCCCCCTCCCACCGAAACTCTCACGCTTCTCCTGTTTAACCAATAACAAAAACATACATGCATATTAAGAGAAACACACTGAGCATGATTGAACATCAAGAACTTAGGACTTACTAATCCTCCTCGCACCACTTCCCACGTTGGAAAACGCCCTGAAAAATTCAGCAATAATTCAAGGCTTTCCATAGGCTTTCCCAGGATATCTATAGGTTGGGATGAACCTTTAGGCTCCGGTCCTGCAATACAGGAGCCTGTCTACACAGATTGCATCTCAGTTACCATTTCCATATGCAGTAACAGCACTTAAGAGCACCAGCCATTGTACAGAAACACTAATAACGGAGAGTCTTCTGCAAAAACCATAACCCTGAAGGGGTTCTTGACGGGGAATTCAGATCCCCCTGCAACTAATCAGCCTGGCTGAGCGATGAGTGATTGAGATTTGTCTTCGCATTTTGAAACACAAAAGTGTTATTTTGAACACCAAACGTTAATTGTTTAAAGCAGATTACTGGCCATCTGCAGCAGGGCAGCACAAAAAGAAAAAGAAGGTACGTGAGAGAAAGGCTTTGTTTATGTATTAAGAGCTGTGATAGTTTGGTATTTCAAAGGTAAAACTGAGACTCAGCAGGTATCAAGATGGCTTATTAGCAGTACTTACCGCAAATACTCTAAATACTGTGCGATCCTGACCCACGCTGGTAAACGCTCAGCTTAGTGATTACAGCGGTAATTCTGTACACATACATACAAAGCACCTGCGTTTTCTCATGCAAACGCACAAAACCCGGTGCGTACATACCGGATTAAAAAACACCACCACCACCACCGTCAGCACACAACGAATATCAAGCGCTCTACCTTTGAGTCATAATCTTATAGGCATCTGGCAGGTAGCAGCGGATATTCTCCATCTGAGCAGGATCGGAGTCGCAGATTTTGTCGTCAGTCCTCCCGTAGTTGGCACTTTCGATCATGATGACGTCCGTCCCCGGGCAGCGAAGCTCTATGGGGTAGCTCTCGCAGGACAGCTCCCGTCGGACCACGGCCATGGGCACCGGGGCTCGGCTGAAAGCTGCAAGGATTAACACAGAAACACGGCAAACGTTGACTTTTGGGGCCGAGACTAGGATTAGAAGCTGAATGCGGTTCAACATCAGGTTCCCCCCACCCACCCCCCAATACGTATCGTTCGGGATATAGCTTCGTTACCCTCAAGATGCGGCCTGCGGAAATGAGGGCTGATCCCCGGCGTGCTAGCTGTCTAGAGAAATCACTTCTGCCCTCGCCTACTTGATTTTCTCCTGTCCAGAAAAGCTAATGAACCTTCCTGTAAAGGGCTTTGAAATCTCCTATTGAAAGAGGTAAACAGCAACTCTGGTGCTGCTGTTACTTCTACTTGCCAGGTGAAGAGCTAGTTGGCTTTGATGCATAAAATCACAGGCCTGCGTTGTGCCCGATCGACCGAGGGGGATTTTCTGGCAGCCAAGCGCCAGGGTCCCACCCGCTCTGCAGGATTGCATCTGTGCAGCTGCAGATGCAACATCATCTGCATCGCCCCAAGTCCTTTCCTCCGTCCTCCGCCAGCCTCTGCCTAACGGCCTTCGCTGTAGCCTGCTGCGCCCTGGGGGCTGCCCGGCGGCTTCTGGCAACCATCCCAAAGTCTCAGGCACAGCAGCGATATCTTCTACGGAAAGGCCAATATATAAGCAGCTGTGGAGGTAAAGCTTCAGTCTCAGCTTTGCACTGGATCAGTGCGGATGGTCAATACCACCCAGTACGGTGCAGTTAAAGAGCCTTCAGAAACCTTATCAGTTTTAAAAGAAATCTTGGCTACAGTTTGGAAAAGAAAAAAACCCTTTGAGAGGCCTTGAAAGCAAAGCCCTCAAGTATTAGTAAATAAATGCATATGACGACAAGTAATAATGCTTCCTATCTCTATAGCCTCTTTGATCCAAGATCCCGAGCAGCTTAACGACTCCATCCTCCCAAACGCCCACACGCAGTAGCTATGCGGCGTCGTTCTGGTGCCAGGATCTCTCCAGAGATCCACGGCGAAGCCGGGAACCGAGCGCGCGTTTCCCAGTGGAGCACGCTGGCCACGAGCGGATACAAAAGCCAGACCCTTCCTTTCCATATTGCACAAGGACAAAAACTAGCCCGCGCTGCAGAGGCCTCCAGCTCGAAGGCTGACGTGCCACGCTGCTCCAACTCTGTACTGTATCAGCACCAACTACAAAACTCAACATAAAACCTAAATTTTTATCTATGCAGCGGCCACAGAGACGCGGAGGAAGGTTTTAACCTCGACTTTGACAGATCCAGGGGCCATCCAACAGCAAGCACCTTTGAACAACCCGCTTGCCCTCCCACAAGCCATCCCTCCAAAGGAAAAAAACCTCCTCCGAGATCCACCTGCCAACACGGTGTTATCTCGCCGCGTGCAAACTTTCACATGGTACATACGCTCCAAGCTTCCTTATAGAAATAAGACCTTAAAATAATAATAAAATAGAAATATGATCTTCCTCTGAAAATCCCAGGGTTGCCTTTATTTATTGCCATATTTATTCTTCAGTAATAGCTTCTCTGATTAGTATCACTTTACTGTTTCGACCATGTAAGTCTGCATGTAAAACTGGCATACGCATAGGTTCGTCCCCCAAGATGGGAGCAACAGTTTTGCCCTAATCTCCTGTTGCACTATGGATTTGTACAATTTGGTAATGTTTCAGTCCACCATCCAAACTCTCTGGAAGCCAGGAGAACAAGCACAGACCTGTGCAACACAACACCTACTTCTTACCTGTGGCTTTGCACCACTAATCAACTGCTAGATGAGTGAAAGAAAGCACAGGACACCATTTGATCTAGGAAATAAGCCCATCAGGATTTGCAAAGTCCAGGGATTTTTGACCTACATTAACAGGTTTTAAGTCCCCTTAAAAGGATCTTTCTGGTTCCCGCTGAAGCACGTAGTGGCTCGCTGCTCAGTGAAACTTTGGACTTGATGGCAATAGGGAAGAGTTGGTGTTTGCCTGTATTACCTTTAACGTTCATTGGTCACCGTCGGTCAACCCGAAAACTTCAGATGTCATGCTGCTGGTTTTGGAAAGAGCTGGGGTGGGTCCTCACCGAGGCTGAGAGTTTTTTGCCTTTTCTGTACCTAAACCTCAGCAGATTTGCAGCATCAAAGGCAGAAGGTTTTTGGTAGAAGGCTTTCGGCAGAACGTTGAGGCCAAGTTCACCCCTTCCTACTGCCGCGTGCTTAGAGGACTCCGATTAATTGCCAAGAAACCAGCAAGATGAGGTATACAGTTGGTATTAGCTGTTTTGGGCTATATTTTAGAGCCCCTTTGTTGGCCAGTTCCTGGGGCAATTTGGATGTTTTCCTCTGGGAAGCTAATAGCCATTTGTGTTTTATGCAAAAGAAATGAGAAAGTCTGGAAAGGCAGGGGGCTTCTCTGCCATCACTTGCTCCGCTTTCGGGGTTGCTGACATATCCATAGACTTTTCGTAACGGGAAAGATACATTGTTAATATTAATTTACTCCTGCAATTCCTACTAGGAAACAAAAGTCAAACCTCCAACCCATATCGTTCCCAAAGTACACTTTTGCTGTTAATTCCTATGTCTGACCTGTTTTTGGCAGAAACAAGTTTATATTATTAAAGAAAATTGGCACTATAAAAGCACAACGAATAAGGAGAACCCCATTTAAAGTCACAGACGTTTCTAGACGGGATATTCACTCCTGCAAGCCTGGTGTATTTATCCAACAGCAATCCTGTACATTTACAGTTAATCCTCACTCTTGTGAATTGTTGTAAATAGGACGGTAGAAGCTCCTATCAGCAATATGGTTTCATTAAAATAGAGGCTTCTGAGGGCTAAGATAGTGCCCTAATCTCACAGTAACTCTCCGCAACAATGCCGTACTTGAAGCTCCTGGTGGAGGATTTTACAGTTAAATATGAAAATGCAAGGGTTTAGCAAAAGCTCTTAACCATGCGAGAGGATGTTTCTTATGTCTTCTATATGTACAAGAGACATTATGGCACTGATTTACTAAAACTGCGCGAATGTCAATCCCCAGCAAAGTTACCTCCCCAAAACCAGCTCATGTTTTCCTTCCCTTTAAGGGATAACACGATAAATGCAGGCCTTACTGGATACCGGGCCAGATGCAAACATGTCTAGACATACCTTTCTGCAACACAGAAATTCAACTTTTTGTTCACATAATCACCCACTTGCCATCAGCAAAACAACTTTTGTGCATAGATACCTCGTTGTGGTATCATGAATTCAACAGATCCCTGGGTCTAAGGCATAAAATAAACGTGGCACCTCGGACAAGTTTTGCATGGGTCAGGTTTTAGGAACAAATGAAAACTTTAATATAATATGATAGCAGAAAGCAACGGTGTGCTTTCTCCAACCAGTCCTCCATTGAGTGAGTTAGTCCGCACGGGTCTCTTCTGCCCCGACTTCTGCAGTAAATACTCCAAAGAGACTTGGTTGTTTATCGCCTTGTAAGTCCATTTATTGATGTTGCATCCCCTATATGATAATCTTACTTAAGCGTTTTTGCTGGTTTTCCTGTAAGGAGCAAAGTGGGGTTTTTTTGTTTTTTTTTTTTTGCTCTGAAATAAGGTGTATCAAAATCTAACCGTGCCCTACACAGCGCGATTGTATTAATTCATTAATACACTTCTCCTTTGAGCAGCTCCCTGTCTTCGCAGTCTCTACCCCACACTGAGCTCCTTATTTAATCTCCTGAATAAGTGACCTAATCGTTGGCTCCAAGTCAAGAGGAGTTGATGGCTGCTCACCACCATGAAAAACAGGTGCCTTTTTCCAGGACCCCGTGCGCGGGCATCAATCTAAACACAGACGGCAGAACTTTAAGATTTTGGAAAACACGCTCTGGAGCGTTTAAACACGTGCCAGCTCAAGCCTTGCAAGCGCGGCTGCTCCGTGGAAACCCACGCTCCCGAGCTTACAGAGGGCAAAGCGAGAGCAGAAGGTGACAACGCAACAGAGCTGCCGGATTTTATCTGGGCAATTTAGGACTTCTTTGTCTCCGCTAATTTCAGGAGCTGGAAAATTAAGTAAGCCATCAAAATCTTGTGCTTTTTTTCTCCCCCCTTGCTTTTGACCTCAGAACATAATTGCCTCTTGTCATGCCTGCAGGGCATGGGCTTGTAGTTATCACTGTGTGCTTAATCAAATGCTGAAATAGCCTTTAAATTACGTGTCTTCTTGGCTGCTAGAGACTTGTTGAGCTCTGTTACATTTAGAAGCACGGCGGTAGTGGATGTAATTTTAAAAGAAAGGGTGGGATGATGTTTTCAATTAGGTTTTATATGCAAATTTCCCAGCAAAAGGATGTTCTGGCTCACAATTTTCAGAGTGAAATTTAAGCGCATATTTAAGGGCAGTGAAATAAAAAAAGCTGGAAATGCAGAGATAATTATTCTCAAAAGCGCCGCGCAGGATTTGCTCTGCCCAGCTGAATACCTGACTTACTGTTCCCAAATGCAAACACAGCATGCTGGGCGATGAGGTTTCCTACTAGTGTGGAGGGATGCTTCTCTGTTCATAATTTCACAAAGCTTAATATTCCCACAGTTGATCTCGATTTTGTTTAAAACGTAAGAACAAAACAAAGCCCCAAACACCCTCTTATTCTGAGGGCAGCTTGGGTACAGATATATGCTGAAGTTGCATTCGAGTCTACAGTCTTGATACGACTGGCCCTCCATAAAAAGGAGCCTATGCTTGAGCACTTCTCCAAATCAGGCTCTCTCACTTTTCCTATTAAGATAAAGTCTCATTACTGCCTTCATTTGCAGTGTGTAAACATGACTCAACGCTTCTTCTTGGTCTCCCTTTCCCTTAATCCAAACTACACCCGGACTTTGATCTCCAGAACAATATTAGCAGCAAACACAAACTCAGGCCCAAGACACTGACAACAAGTGTTTACCCAATTAACGCCACCCTCCACTCTCCAGTCTTTTAATTGTTCACAAATATTAACTTGGTTCTGACGAGCTTGAAAATATTGG